TTCTCCTTCATGCTATAATGATGCGGGTTTATATTTGAAGCATTACTGTTCATTATTATTTCATGCGGCTAAACGGTGTGACTAATGTAACTTATTTAACTGTTTCACCTTGGGTTTTTAGCGATTAGGGCTTTGATTAAGAGCATTTGACGCATGATGAATAGGAAGTGAGGGGAAAGAAAACCTGAGAAGTGAAGAAAAAATATCAACACAGGAGCAGGAATGACGTGAGTAAGATGATAGAGGGAAGCTAAGAGGGTTTGGTTAAGTGATGTGACGAGAGGAAGGCGGGGGGGCGATCAAAAGAGGCTAACATGAACCTTAGAGAAGAAGTTAAGAAGAGATGAGTTAAGGTGGTTAGGTTAGGTTAGGTTGGGTTTATGTTAAGTTTGGTTAGGTTAGCATTAGGTTAGGTTAGGATAGGTTAGCATTAGGTTAGGTTGGGCTAGGTTAGGATAGAATAGGTTAGCATTAGATTAGGTCAAATTAAATTAGGTTAGCTTTAGGGTTGGGTTAGGTTAGGTTAATCTTCAATTGAAATCATCTGGAAGGAGGAGAATCTTCAGGCGATCCATCTTTGCTGTGACCTATCAAACCAGCACACCTCGATGAGTTATTCTGGGGTACAAAAACAAGTCGACCCCGAGACACACCACACTGACCCGTTCTATTGTAGTCCACCCAGCTAAAGAAAACGGGAAGAAGTAGGTCTAGTGGGTGACTGATTTGGTTTTCTGTTTTTGGTTAGGTTAGGTTTAATTTGTTTGTTTTTTCTCTGATTATTATTGTTAGTAGTATTGTTGTTGTTATTTAACATCATCACAGGTGTTGCGGGCAGGTGAGAGAGAGGACGCCAAGGTAATATTCTCTCAGTTTCTCTCTGCCCGTGTGTGTGTGTGTGTGTGTGTGTGTGTTTACATGTCTGTACAGCACAACTATCTTCTCTCTGATCATATTAATTCATCGGTATGTAAGTATTGAATGTACACATATGGACGAACGAATTTTTAACTGTTTTGTGTGTGCTTCTAATGTACATAGACGCTGAACAGGATTGAGGCCCACTAGACCTACAATATTGGTCCGCTTGGTGAGGTTAGGTTAGGTTAGGTTAGGTTAGGTTAGGTTATAACAGTGGTAGTGAGGGAGTATTGTAAGCAGACGAAGCCTCCAGGAATTACCTTAATACTTCATCCTTGTATTATGATCGTGACTCGTTCTTATAACAAGTTAATTACTGTTATTTGCTGTTTTAATCAAAGTGTTTCAATTATTAAAGTTATTTGTAAAGTGGTCTGTAAAGAAGGTTTATTTTGATGTGGTTAGACCGGATTAACGGGAGGCTGGAACAAGAAGAGAACGACTTTGGTCCAATAGGATGAACAAGATTGTAATCCTCAGGTGAAATCGTTCATACCATATAAAGAAAACTTATCCCCCCCCCCCCTCCAACTGGCAGCTTTTTTCTTTAGGTCACACGGGGAGGTAACCTGATGACCCTGTTTACGGGAATCTCTAGGCGAGAGGTTAACCTTACCCAAGCCAACGTTAACATGTTGTGAAATTCGATACAACTAACCGACGAGAGACCCGGCACAGTTTCTCTCGCTAAACCAACTGGAATAAAGACAACAGCTTGACTTCTGCTACTGTCATGGCAACAGGATACACGAGCTCTCATGTAGAAGTGGAAAATAAGGTATGGAAAGACCTTAGGGGTGGTGACTATTATAAGATTACGCAGCGGTCGTGTGAGTTTCTTCCTCTTGCGTCTTGGATGGGTGTCACCGTCCCTCTACAATACACTACACACCTGGAGAGAATAAAAGATATATAGAGTTTTTTTTTGCTCTTGTGTACACCTTCAGGAGGAAAATAGAGCTCAGATAAGCCTCGTCCTTCTGATAAGCTAAATCACGTGCATCAGGTGAACCACGTCCCACTGATAAACCACGTCCATCAGATAAGCTAAGTCAAATCCCCCTGATAGGCTACATCCTTCAGACAAGCCACAAGCCATGTTCTCCCCATAATACACGTCTCCTCGTCTCCTATTTCCTCTTATATCTCCTATGTCTGCATCCTTCAACAGGTTTGAGACTGTGAAGGACTTTTGAGACTTGAGGTGGTGGAGGAGGAGTGAGTGAATGAGTGAGTTTAGTTCACAGCCACCAGGGAGGAGTTCCCCCCCATTCCCCCTCGCTCTCTCGTCCAGATCCTGTTCCGTTATCCTTGAGCCCTAAAGGGACAACCCTGACCCTCCCCATTCCGGCCCTGAACCCTCCCTCCCTCCCTCCCTCCCTTTATGAATCCCCCCCGACACACACACACACACACCCTGAGGTACAACTACCATTATGTCACACCTCTGCACTACTCTCACACCCTCAACACCCTCAACACCCTCAACACCTGCTATGTACACCAGCAACACTCAACCCTCTTTAGCTGTGTTTCGAATGGACGTCAACAAGTCATCGGATCTTCCCAGTTTCTTAAGTTAAGATATCAAGAAGGTGATAATTACAGGTATACAGAAATTACCCGAGAGTGTCTTTTGGGGCGAGGTATATAGAGCAATAAAGGTGAGGAAGTCGAGTGGATAGAGTACTTGTTTCCCATCCTTAGGTTCACTGGTTCGCATCTAGCTGTATTGAGGGCGTCTGACTCTTACAGGGGTTAGTACAGTCCCCACTTTCACTTTCATTCAGCGATATCCTTCTCTTCCTTCCGTCAATGATATGTTTCAGTGGCATTAACCCCCAATTTCTCCAACCTATAGTCCCCTCTGTTCACACGATCCAACCCATACGACCCATTCACCATCAACCCATTCCGGAAAGTCTGTCCTTCCCTCATAGACCACTCCTCCTCCTCCTCCTCCTGCCCTCCCCATTCATACATTTATACCAGACAGCCCCCACACATACTATAAACCCCATTAACCCCCTTCCAATGCACACCCTAAAGGCCCCAGACAGCCCCCATGCACACCATAACCTCCCATTAAACCCCCATCCGAGTGAGCCACTCAACAGGCCAGGTGGGGTGACGTAGCCAAACAGGTCGTCATCACACATCTCACCTTTACACTCTGGCCCGGAGATAATTACTCAATGTGGTTTTATATATCCAGGTCCCACCACTACCACCAAGACACAGACACACACACACACACACACACACACGACTACATTCAAAAGTTGTGTGAACGGATGTCAATAATGAATTAATATTCTTTCTTGTTATTATTCCGTAAATGTCTGAGAATCCGGAATCAGAAATTGACGCAACTCGCGAGGATTTTGTCTTACTCTGCTTCATTGTTTATATAGAAGGATGAGCTCATAACTGATGAGACAAAACCTCATCTCTATTATGACGTAGCAAGACCTCGCGGGAGTTGTACTAATTAATAAAGCGAGGAAGGAGCACTTGTTAGGAGTATGACGCAACCCGTATGTCTTTTGTCATATGGTCTGTTGACATCGTGACGTCATCATCATGGCTATCAGAAGGAATGACAGAGAGAGTGAGAGACGTCAATATCCTCGACAACAAGGTACAGACTGACCACTCAGCTTCGCCTCGTCAAAAAGTGTGAATAGTCAGTATTTTCTGCTTTCATGTTTTGATAATGGTTGATGTTGTATTTTTATCGTCTACTTGAGGTCGTGAGGGGCGTGGTAGGGGTGACGTGGAAGGTGAATGACAGGCCTTTGATCTCCACTACACACACACACACACACACACACACGGAACTCTTCCTTCACCCCTCCTCTTCTCTAATTACCCCCCCCTCCTCCTCCTCGTGGTCTCCCTCGGTAGCACAAGGACGCTGGCATCCTGTGACCTTGCCAACACTCCAGGCCCTCTGAGGTACCAAGGACACGCCGGCAGCCGCTGGTGTTGCCCAATGAGCTTATAATGTTCCTCTTTATTTGCATCCTGTTAGTTACCAGTCTTCCCTGTTTTATATTCCTTGCCTGAACACTGTCATTTGTCAGCTCTATATTTGTCTCTTCTTTTTCTTCTTCTCTCTTGCTGTTGTTCTTCTTGTTTTTCTTTGCTCTTTACTGATTATATTCTTTATTTTTCTCCATCTTCCCCTCGTTTTCCCTCATTTCTGGCCATGGCCATTTGTTAACCCTTGTTGTTTCTCTCTTCTTCGTGTTTATGCTCTTAGGTTTCATCACAACTATTTGGTATACACATATTCACTGTTTACTTCCCAGTGTTTAATAATCATTAGTATTCGTCTCTTTTCTTATATGTTCCAGCTTTTATTGTGGACACTGAGTCAGCTAAGTGAGCGAAATGTTAGCAATAAGAGTCAGTATTGTGTTGGGGGATTTTGTTATCTATCTCGAGTGTTGACTACGTGTGTGGCTGCCGATCGATGCTGCACCTGTTGTGGAGGTGTGTGGCGGCCGTGACGTCACCGCTCCTCACAGGGAAGATTCTTGAGTCATCTCCGAAATTATTAGAATAAAAAGTCATTAATTTATATAACGTTGGTTGACGCTGGTTATGTTTATCGTCACAAAGATAGCAAGTACCGCTAGACTCCCTTGGCTAGAACTACCAAACATGGAGGCACAATAGACACACAAGATGGTTTGGTCAGGTTACGTTTCGTTTCGTTACGTCTTGATGATTTGTGGTTTTTTCTGCTTTAAAGTGTATATACCTGACACTGTACTATAAATACGATCAAAACCACACACACACACACACACACACACACACACTTAAGATGATGATAGTGGGTGTAAGAACAGCAAGGTTTACTTACCGTCTCGTTTACCAGCACAGGAGAAGGCGGTGTCAATAATGGGCCAGCCGAAGATAGGGTAGTCGACGCCGGGCTCACCAGGTACTGACTCTCTCAACCACTGCAGAGGATCGCTACTGTGGTGGTGGTGGTGGTGGTGGTCGTCGTGGTGGTGGTCGTGGTCGGGGGTAGTAGGAGGGCGAGGAGGTTGGGCAGGAGGGCGAGGAGGTTGAGGGCAGGAGGTTGGAGGAGGGCGAGGAGGTTGGGTGAGGAAGGGCGAGGAGGTCGGAGTGTCGGAGGACGAGGGAGGTTGGTGGGAGGGCGAGGAGGTAGGAGGACAGGGAGGTTGGGTAGGAGGACGAGGAGGTCGGGTAATGGAGGACGAGGAGGTTGGGTAGGGAGGACGAGGAGGTCGGGTAATGGGAGGACGAGGAGGTTGGGTAGGGAGGACAGGGAGGTCGGAATGGGAGGGCGAGGGAGGTTGGGGGACGAGGAGGTCAGGAGGGACGAGGAGGTTGGGTAGGAGGACGAGGAGGTCAATAGGAGGACGAGGAGGTTGGGTGGGAGGACGAGGAGGTCAGATAGGAGGAGCGAGGAGGAGTTGGGTTGGGAGGACGGGAGGTCGAGAGGACAGGGAGGTTGGGTAGGAGGGCGAGAGGTTGGCTGGGAGGCGAGGAGGTTAATGGAGGACAGGAGGTAGGTATAGGAGGGACGAGGGGAGGTTGGGTAGGAGGACGAGGAGGTCGGAGTAATGGGAGGACGGGAGGTTGGGTAGGGAGGACGAGGAGGTCGGGTAATAGGAGGACGAGGAGGTCGGGTAGGAGGTGCAGGAGGGCGGGTAGGAGGGAGGGGTGGAGATAATGGAGGACGACAAGGAGGGAGGTTAGGACTTCCTGGAGGCGGAGGACCTGTTCCTGGCTGTTGAGAGAGAGAGAGAGAGAGAGAGAGAGAGAGAGAGAGAGAGAGAGAGATTAATGTCACATTAAAACCGTCTATAAACAGCACCCACACCAGTACAGGTAAAAGGCTCTCTACATTAACTTATTAATTAAACAGGTAAGGATCTTATATTGTTCTGTATTGTAAGATGTACTAGGTACCTGTAGTGCTGTATCTTGTACTGTAATACCCTCTATTAGTCACGGGGTTTATTGTACCTGAACGTGTACTAACGCGGTGTGAGCACAGTCAGTGTGCTTCTGTACATCGTCAGGTTCATTAAGTGTTGGACCTTAATGTACTTATCACCTGTACAGTTTTGGTGTACAATTTGTGGCTCGTAATATATGGCGACTTTTTAATCACTGTATCTATTGTATTTTCTGTATCTATTGTATTTACTGTATATACTGTATCTACCGTACTCACGTAGCAGGACGGTCTGGACGTGGTGGGTGGGCCTACGACACTGGTGGGCGTGCCACTGCCATCATGGATAAAGGGTTTATCAGGCGGCAGGTAACCATAGCCTCCACTCTGGGCCCAGGTGACGCCGACGCACTCTGTACAATTAGAATTTAGAATTAGATTATAGAATTAGAATTTAGAATTAGATGCGGTTACTGCAATACCTTACACAGGCTCTAGACGCGTACTGTGGTAGACAGGTAATGTTTTAGACAATTACTCTAATAGACAGGTAAGGTTTTAGACATTTTACCTTAATAGACAGGTAAGTTTTTTATACCTACGACTGAAAGACAAAAACAATGATATGAAACTTCAATATTCATACACAAGTCAGCAATCTATCTTCACAACATGAATAATGAAGATAATCGAGGTGTTATCCGTTAGTTTAGTTCGTTTTCGTATTTCAGTAAGACTCTCATTGGAATTATTTGCGATTTTGGTTCCTATTGTTGGAGGAGGGAAGTAGCTAAGTCACTTCATTAATTATAGAGTCAAAGGAGGCACTTATACCTGTAGTTACCTGGAATTTGTCATTAGGTACCGATTGTGTATATGGAACGATTTTATCAGAGGCCCCGCCGTCCTCTGACCGAGTATCAACAAACATCAGCTGATCGAATGTAAACATGCTAGGGAAAACCACTGATTGGGTACCAGGAAAGATGACGTCAGCAGCCAGCCAGCCCACTGTGCCACCCGTAACATGAGAGAGAGAGAGAGAGAGAGAGAGAGAGAGAGAGAGAGAGAGAGAGAGAGAGAGAGCATGATGAATCTGATGTTCGGAAGACAGTACAAAGCTCTGGACACTAAGATACACTAGTACATAGTGAAACATTTGTAAGTTAGATACAAGGCGTTCTGAAGGGAATACATGTATTTGTTGGGTAAATATACGAGTTTGTTATATTCGTCGTTCACAAAGAAGAAAACAGCTGTGGAAACAAGTATAGGCGAGAAAATGCCGACTTTGTTACAAATTCCTACATTCAGCATTTAAAAGAGACGAAAAACGCATCTATAAGTTTAATAATGTAAGCCTGGCGTTAAAAAAAAATCTTTAAGGAAGACAAAGTTATGAACACGAAACTTAATTAAAAAAAACATCAAACGCAAACAATCTCCTCATATGGAGACGCTCTATAGAGAATGTAAACAAAATATATAGAAAACAAACAAAAGTATCTGATTCCACGTAACGGGATACGAACCCTTTTGTTTTGGTTATGAGGGAGTGTTCAGTCATAACCCCGCAACAACACATTTGGTTATTGTTTGGTTGTAAGTCTGTTGTTGTTCATGCTGTTGTTATTGTTTTTAATAGTAGTGTTGTTTAAGCTATTATTATTATTATTTAAGGGAGATGATTACCATTATCGACCGTCAGGGTTGGTATGTGTTCAGCGTTGAAGTCTCTTGTTTCTATGACTCGTATCTACCGGAGATTAGTGATTGGTTAGAGTAGTCTGCAAGCCTAATTGACCCCCAATCTTCCTCGGCACCAATCCCAGTTAACATAGGATCAGATTGTATTAAAGGAACTATTGGAAACCCTTTAAGACAATGACTAAGGAATGGAATACTCTTAAATAAACTTATATAATGAAGACTTTAGAGACTTGTCAGGTTAATTAGCCCCTCACAAGGATCTGGAGATTAAGTTTGAATCGTAATTAAACAAACAAACAGACAGACAGAAAAGATTCGTTGAGTTAATGAGGAAAGTTGTGGGTAATTTGGTGAGTCGAGTAGGGAAAGGGGAGAGCACCTTAGAACATGGCAGGTGGTCACGTTAGGCTTTACCTGTGTGTGTCAGGTAGGGGGCTGTAGTGTTACCTGCTGGAACCCCTTCATTAGGTGTTAGTTGACCTTCCCCCCCTCTCTCTCTCCTTTCCCCTCTCCCTTCACCTTTCACACACCTTCTTCAGGTATCACTTGACCCTCTCCCACCTCCACCTTTTACGAAAGTGTGTCGTATGAATGACTCAGGAACCTCTTAACGTACTCACATTTGTTGTAAAGGGAACTTCCTACTGAGGACGACCAACCCATCTTTCTTTCAGGAGTCTGTTAGCAGGAGTTAAATCTACCCATATCTTCTTCGTGTCACCTTCTGCAGTAGTGTGTTAATGGGGACGACCGAAAACACACACACACACACACACACACACACACACACACACACACCGAAGGGTCAAGACGTACCTGGCGCTCCTCTCGGAGTAGCCAGGTCAACTGTTAAGTTGGCCCATGCCAACTCCCTCCCCTGAACCCTCCTCCCCACCGGAGTATCAACAGGTTCTCGCCAGAAGTTACAATTTCATTTGGGAAAGGAATGGAACCAGTGTTAAACAGAGGTGAACATTGGTGAACAGTGCTTGAGTCAGTGAGAACAACTCAACAGTAAAAGTCGTATTCAAGTTAACCTTCACACAGTGAGGTCCCAGGTACCCAGTGATAACGGCCCGTGAGACCCAACAACCGGCGATGTGTTAATCCGTCTACGATAGGAAGGCCTGGGGCCACACCTCACTCATATAACACCATCTGTGAGGGAATTACTACACCACGTCAAGTCCCTCATAACACCATCTGTGAGGGAATTACTACACCACGTGAGGTCCCTCATAACACCATCTGTGAGAATTACTACACCACGTGATACCCTCATAACACCCTCTGTGAGAATTACTACACCACGTCAGGTCCCTCACTTAACACCATCTGTGAGAATTACTACACACATCAGGCCCCTCCTGCTTACCATCTGTGAGAGTGCCACCACGTCAGGCCCTCATAACACCATCTGTAGAGAATTACTACACCACGTCCGTCCTCACTTAACACCATCTGTGAAATTCATGCACCACGGCAATGCCCTCATAACACCATCTGTGAGGGAGTTACTACACCACGTGAGGCCCCTCGTAACACCATCTATGAGGGAACTACTACACCACGTGAGGCCCCTCATAACACCATCTGTGAGGGAATTACTACACCACATCAGGTCCCTCCTAACACCATCTGGGAGAGAGTTACTACACTACGTGTTTGCTGTTCAACACCTACATTAATCTGAATGTTCACTGTATGTTCCTTTACCTTTCTCTAATGAAGGCTTTTATTAAACCACCAATGTATGTAATAAGTCATTTATGTCCAATGTATATTTTCAGCCTTCGGGCTGCAGAACTTTTTCAATAAACCGTTAATTATTATTATTATTATTTACACACACACACACACACACACACACACCTTCTTCAGTAGTGTGTTAACGGTGATTCCCACACACACACACACCCCAAGCAAGACAGTGATAATAGGAGTTAACACAGGTAGCTAACTAGACAGGTAAGTCATTAATCTTCAGCTCTCACCCCCTACCCCAATCACTTCTCACACCTCAGCATAAATTCCCAATAGCGTTACCCTTGCAAGTCACCATCATCTCACCCCATCTGTGACACCTTAAACTTACTCTCTGCAATCTAAGACATTTCTACCTCATTTTCCTTACATGTGAACCCATAAATATTTGTTGTGACTCAGAAAACTGGATAATTTCGATGCAATATTTCATTTGTTAGACGACAGATGGAGCGAGAGTGTTGGCTGAATAAATAAAAATTGTATAAAAATTCGTCGTGTTGAGGCTGTGAGAGATTTACTGTGTGAGTTAATTCTCTCTTTATTTCCTCATTTGTTTATTCTATTCTCATTGTTCTCCTTATAATCTCATTTATTTTTAGGAGATATTTATTGTTTCTCATGGAGTCTTGTCTCAGGTTGGTGAAGTGTCTGTAGTATAAGACAAAAAAAAAT